ATGACTAACCATCCTGCGAGATGGGGATTTCAGCACCACGTAGCTAGCTTTTTGGCACACTGTACTCCACCTTCCTATAGTCTAGGGTAGGGTAGCTGCACTTGTGCAGATAAAGCCAAGAACAGGCAAGTAAACACTTCAACCGTATGCATGACTTTTCCTGTTTTTCTTTTTTTCATAGGCACTAACTTTCTGCGTGACAAGGTCATTGGTGCCATGTGAACACATCCAAATTATTAGAGCTAGAAACTTGGCGCGACAAGGAAGTATTAAATTAAGGTGAACAAACCACAGGGCCCTTAATGTCATTCCGAAAGGATGGACCCGTCCTCTTGGGTTTTAAACCGCTTTTCAACACCTGCTCTCTGGGCGCTCTGATTACTCATCTCCCACCACTGGAAGGGCTCCATCCCAATGAGGCTGAGGTGATTGATTGATGAAGATTAAGCCACCCAAAAGGTGGCACGGGCATGAATAGCCCGTAAGTGGAGGTCCTGTTGAGCCATTACCAGTATCAAGAGCTGATACTGGAGATCTGTGGAGGTGCGACTGCACCCTGCGTGACGGGAGATGTCTCCCGTGAATGTATTAATGGCTGAGGAACGAGGGAGGGGTTGTATATTAGATCCCTCTCCACGTCTTCTGGCATCTAAACCGTCACTAATTGTCCTGGTGAACGTATAGGTACACTACAATTTAACAAAGTTAGGGTTCAATGAACTACGGCAATGGACGTTACACAAGGGACCACAGTAACACGCTATTGACAAAACTTTTTCATCAATAATAAAGAAACGGGGAAACCTTGTCAAGAATTAAATTATACGTGGGTCCTGGGACCTACAGCTGACGGATTTAGAGAACTGACAAGTGCAAAGTAATGAAGCTGGTCCCTTTGAACAGGAGGCCGGATACACGATATCACACCAGAGAGGAAATCCACCTGGAATTTGACAGAATGGGGGGGGGGGTTAGGGGGTTGATACTACACCGAAGATGTCAGAAGCCCAAAAACGTATACCTGCAGCATACAGAAAGTTTAAGAACCATTTTGAACGTCAATTCCAGAGCCAAGAGGAAAGATTAAACAAGTTAAACCACCTCATTTGCAAGCGACTGTAGACATGATCACCATAAAAACAAATATAGTAGACTATTGTAGCAGGGGTAACACATATGGGGGGGACCCATGTAAACTAATGAGCCACAGAATTTGTTGTGTCGGGAAAGCGAACAAATGAAGTGGCAAAGGCGAGCTTCTCACACAGGTTTAACTAATGCCAGAGCCTAAAAGTCTGTAACTTATATACCAGTTTAACGTACGGGAGGTGGGATCCAAGAGCCGGCACTCATCCCTCGCAAATGCAATATTAAAGTCCCAAATATTAAAGCCATGCCATAGAAAATGACTCGTATCTTTGAACCCACCACAGGAACACCACCGCCACCAGGACACGCGATCCGCACCGCCACAACATCGCAATACCACAATCCCGAATTTCATCACCAGTCCCTCGCAACAATGTGTACGGTCATCATGGCTAAGAATGGACGTTTCTGCTTGACTTGGGGCAACACAAAAGCAGTTTGTCTCTTTTCTTGCCACACGGGTGGTCTTTTGAGAGGGAATTTGATTTTTTTAAGTGGAGAGAGGTGTCGAGACAATGGCGGGTGATGGCAGGCACTCGCCGTGAAACTCCATCAGACACGTTAATTTATTAATAGACACGCCCACCCAAACACTACCATATGGGTCACGTAAATATCCGAGGCGGTTTCGGCTTTACCCTTTAGCTGCATAAGGTTCATTATGCACCCCATACCTACCCCCCCGGGCTGTATTTTAACTGAGGCACATAATGGACTCGGGAACTGAACTTTTTTTTATTTAGCAAATTAATCTCTATACATCTATAGTCCTTCACAGCATGTGGTTCAAGAAGTGATCCACAACAGTTTACACAGCAATTTACAGTGATGAGCCAATTACTTACTAATGCTATACACACCCTTCCAATGGACAACAGCTGTGGAACTAAAGTCATATGCATAGACTAAATATAGCACACGAACTGATACTTTGCTAAAATTACTGGTAGCACATTTTAAATGGAATACGAACACATTTAACAGTCGTAGGAGAGCACGCTTTGCAATGACTTCATTTATCAATATGAAAGTATATTTATTGTGTATCACCATCTAGCGCACATTTTACCACTGCCCTTACAGGATAATTCAATGTTCCATATGGCACCCGATAGTTTTTTTTTCTAGCTTTGTTATGGGGAAATCAAGTACCTTCTAAACAAACATTTCCTACTACCTATTTCCTGCTCTATATTAAGGTTACAATAACAATGGGTTCAAGCACTGAACACTGATGTTCTATAGACAAAGAAATGGACATCTGTTGTGTAGATCAAACGTTTTATAGACAAATTTATGATAAATTTACAAAGGTAGAAGATCCAATTACCTGCTGCGTTTATTACCTATATGCTAAAGTTGTGTCGTACTTTTCCTTTTAAGCAGTGGATGGAAGTGATCAAATTTTTAACGCATTTCCACTTGCCGACAACCCGAACAGGGTACCAGAATATCCTCACAGTGTGGTATCCAGCTTACACTGTAGTCCGTCTCCAACATTCATCTGCCTGTCCCTTAACCCCCCCACCAATTCATAATTTGTTGTTTACATTTTCCTGTGCGGGGCCCCAAGGCTTTGACTGGACCTTTGAGTCATTTTTATCTTAGTGGGTGGACCCAGTATTTATGACAATGTTGGCTTCAGTAAGGTTATGTCCAATGTGTGTGACAATCTGGTTTCGTTTTTAACGACAAGGCAAGATAATCTTCCAGTGATCTGTTTGGCATATCTACAATGCTGATATTTCCTCTTTCTGGAACCACGACTCGGCCATAACCGACTCCCCAAGTATGTTTATTGAGATAAATACATCTCAAAGGGATAGAGTAGCTTAGGCTATTTCTACCCCCCAACCGACACCCCTCCCATCTACTACCTTCTTCTAACTGGCTATTTAGCCATGTGCAAGCTATACCATCCTGAAGCTACAGAATTGTTCCAAACCGTATTTTTATTTAATAATTTACTTAAATCTTATTTGTTTAAACTTTGAAGAATTTATTTAACCACACTGCTAAAATACGCACCTAAATTTTTCATTCCCAAGTCGACATAAAATTAAAACTAGCAAGACCCGGCCTCAAGCGTGACCTAGTCTTCAAGGGAAGTAGCCTATTCCGCCGCTACCGGATATATTCCGCTCCTCCCGGCTATATTCTGCCTTCACCCATTTTCAGGCCAATTTTCCACCCGAATACATTCTATGCATGATTATGTCTACCAAATTGCCCGTAAAAATAGAATGATAAATTGCAGACCTGACCATTGTCATGGAGGGAGGAGGGCCTTTGTTCACATGATTATCATATCTGAAAAGGTTCGGTATTCCAGGAACTGGGTAATGAAAGCTTCCGAACTCCGGCATAAAATTCAAGAGGCTATTTCCACATCGCTACTTTTGGTACAATATTCTTTGCTCCTTTAAAACATTATGTACTATTATTAATTTCCCTAATATCTACCTCTAACAAGTAGTGTGCAAATTTTAAATTTCATTATCTAGTTACAAATTACATGTTATACTAGAATACAAGTTAATTTGTGCATTACTGTCACAAGACGGTGGACCACCACCTACATATAACCCCCCCCCCAACCAATACAGATGTAGCAAAAATTGACCGTGGTCATTGCTGCGACACATTTGTGTATTTGTCACGGCAAATACAGTTGTGCATTTGTTAAAACCATGTAAAATATCAAAGACACTTGGTTCAACACTCATGTGGGGCCAGACAATGTATTGTGCAAGATTAGTCCCATGGATCCTTCGAAATGGTTCCACCCGTAAGCTGGTAGTGTGGCATGAGTGGGCGGGAATCTTGCGCATGCCTAGCATGAAGGAGACTGGCCGCTAGGATATGCTCTCATTCCGCTAGGTCGGCCATCCGCGTACTATACTGAGCTGGCTGGCTGCCTTGTTTGTAGGCTTCCCTTCACAACAGTTAACCATGCTAACAAAAGCCTTAAGTGATCTAGGTAGTTGATCACAACCCATTCATTACTACAGAACATGCATTATTTAATTTAAATTAAGACAATTACCACAGTGAGGTAACCACATCCCAAATATTGGTAGCATTAACTGCCAGAGCAAATACCCAACCCCCTCCAAGCGCGTCCATAACTCCAGTGCTGTTGTCATAATGTAACAATCGCCAAACTCGACAATTTATCATACTGTCCAGTGGTTACATTAAAACACCTGTCTAGTAAAAGAAAAACCACCACCCGTCCAAAGCCAGACAGTCACGACACAAAAGGCGGTGGCAGCGACTGAAATGGTGCGAGCGAGAAAATTACTAAACACTCACCAGTCCCCCCTCAGACACTTTTAAACAAGTGAAAAACACTGCACAATCAAATGCAAAAATAGCAGCCAGCCACTGCACATTCCTCTCTAATTCTGTGGGGGGTTGGGGGTAGGTGATGGGTTGCGGGGACTGAATGGCTGACAAGTGTTAGTAACCCAAACTAATGTGACAATCCCTTCGGTAACTTCCAGCCGAGCTCCAAGATTGCTACCAATCTCCCATATTTATCAGATTAGGCTGGCCATGAATTGGGGGCAGAGTTTGGAGGAAGAAAGCCTGGGCCACCTGGCACTGGTAGTAACTAGTAGTGGAGGTAGTTTGTGTACAGACGTTAGCATCTTGAGCCCTTGTCAGTGTTGGCGCTGCATGACCCGCCTCCCAACACCTCAACGGACGTCACACAAACCAGGCTCATTTTGTATTATCCTAAACAATTTTGAATATTATGCAACTCGCCAGCATGAAGGCTATTTGCAATAATCATCCAGTCAAGATACCGCACCTGTGCAAAGTAAGAACAGTCTCTGAATACTCACCCTGCTTGACCGAGACGTATCTGGCGTTTAGGAGAGCACCGAAGGAGGCTTGGGGGAGAGAGTCTTCAAGTGCAAACAGCTCGTCTTTAGTGACTGTGTTGGAGCGAGTTTTGAGCACAGCACGGGACCCGATGGGACTCAAATACTGACCCTGTTTATGGCAACAAAAGAAAACGGCAAATCATACGCATTCTTAACTCACTTTATTAAAATAAGTTCCAACAATGTCATTTGACATCAGTTTAATAAAGAATTAAGAGTCAAAACCATGTTACTGGTCGTTAGTGTTGAGGGACTGACCTGGTAATCTCTGAGGGCGAGGGAGCCGTGGTGGTACTCGAGGCAGAAGAGACACTCCCGGCTGCAGTTTGCCACCAGCTTGCCGTCCATGGCCAAGTACTTGTTGTTAGTGGTGTGGATGGCGTACTTATTATCTCTGAACTCTAGAGTGAAGAGTGTGTCCTCGCCCCACGGTACATTAGCGTCCACCTCAATCTCTGTACCCTCCTCGTTCAGATGGGCGTACCGCTTGCGGCCTAGCGACCGCAGGTTTACCTATAACACGCCAATAACTATAATGAAAACTACAACCGTTAAGGGATCGCAAGGATATACTGTACAGGGTCTTTGTGCAGTTTATAAATAAAAACTGTTCTAAAAAGGAGAATTTTGTGGTCAAGACTGCACCCTGCTAGTAATGCAGGGAAATTTCTGGACTACATTTTCCCACAAATAGAATGACAGCTAATCCCTTTGCCAGTATGCTCACTGGATCCGTCCCCACCGGACTTTTTCCCCAAGTTCAGTGATAAAACTCATTTACTCGTCAAAACCTAACTTCGTGACAACCTTCGTACTAAACTGTTGTGACTAATGTCACCCGTGACTAATGAACAATGCATTTCTTCAATTTTGTCTGTAATAATGATGAACATATTTACTGTGTTCCTAGAGATTAAATATACTGCATGTGCCACACTAAAACTTTATTAATCATTTTACAGACTGATGCTCTCTATCGAAGTTATTACAATTTGTACCTGCACAACCACTTTGTATGTAGACAGGTGTCCCATTTGTGTGGTTTATAGGCCAAAAGCCTTAAACCAAATCAAAGCTAAAAACTATCTAGCTTAACCTACGACAAACTGAAAACGGTACCAATTAAAACAGAAAAAGCAAAAGTTAGATGTACTGTAGACTAGTTACCTGTGGCCTGGCAGCGAGGTGGATACTCCAGAGCTCTGCGTCGGTGGGCACCTTGGCGCTGCAGATAAGCTTGTCACCTCCGGCGCCCAGGAAGTAGCCTCGGGTGACGTTACGCAGAGCCCAGCGGCCATGTTCGTCGTCCGTCACCGACACCTCAAACATGCACGACATGTCCCGCTCTTCACTCTCACATGTCACGTTCCCGTACTGCACAATCCAACCATACCACATATTAACTCTGATAACATGGTTATAAACTTTTAACAATATACAGACCGCACATATCAATCGAGATGATCTCTAATAAGCATATTTGCGACTGTGTATATATATGTATGAACACGTTGTACCGAACGGGATGAGAAGAGCTTGAGCTACCTCATCCCCTTGTGCGTATTTATACCTCAATAAAATTATTTCAATCTAGAATCGCACCTGGTCGACGGAGATGTATTTATCGAGATGAGACTTGAAGGCAATGAGATCTTTCTCGGCGGGTTCCAAGGTCCACAACTGTTTCTTTTTGAGCGACACACCTGAAGGACAAAAAAGGGCAGCGCATCACAACTATATCCACAAGGCTTACCACAAGTTGAAACTAATCTAGGCTCAGTAATCAGAGCCACAGTTCAGAGTGTCTGGTTTTTGTTTTGTGAAGCAGGTGACGAGACTTTCAAATGTCTCATTTCGCATTTCAGCCAAATTATGTAACTTCATTGTGACGATAAAGACGATATTTCCAATTCACATTAGGCTAGATAAAACAGGTTAAGGCGTTTTAAATTTTTTACGGTACACTAAAATTAGTTTAACGAGACTTGCAAATTGGTTTACAAAGTGTATTACAATGTATTAACTCTGTAGGCAACCTAAAATAGAGCAAGGTCTCGCGATAATGTACTTTCCATTGTTATAAACTTGATCATTCTTGAATTGAATTCTTGAATTCAATTCTTAAACTTGAATTCTTGTGGATTCAAACCTGTATAAACTTACCATTAGCATTGATCTTGAAGCCAAAGGTCTCGGCGGTGAGGTACTTGGCCTTGGCGTTGATGAGGCCGATGGTCCAGCAGCCAGAGCCGTTAGAGGTGCCGTTCAGCTCCCCGCACCCGTTGAAGCCGTTCACGCCGTTCAGACGAGACATCTGCCGGCAAACAACAATCAACTATTAGACCAGACTCGCACTACCACATGACTCAAACAAATATATAATATGACACATTGGTATCAAAGCTCGAGGCTAACCATAGCCCGTGCTACTTTCCCCGCTCCTGTGCCAGGTAAGTTACGGACTCACCATAGCCCGTGCTACTTTCCCCGCTCCTGTGCCAGGTAAGTTACGGACTCACCATAGCCCGTGCTACTTAGAACTTGTTCCGAGTAGCTGAATCTGTAACAACAACAATATCAAAGCTAGTTTTAACTGTTGCTGGCACTAAACACTATAACAAGCATTCTTAAGCACCTGGTTCTGTGCACCTAAGATCAATAAACATGAATCACTACTATAAAACGCTCAAAGCTGCACACCAGGCCATAGGGGTTACCCCAGGAGTCAAAAAAATATTTCAATAATCTAAAGTTTCATCGATGCAACAATTTATGCAAGTCATGACCAATAACCCCACGACTCGCAAAGTCAATTTAAACGTCAATGACGCTGCAATAGCTGAAACTATTAGGCACCCAATACAAAACTTTGGATAAAAACTGCAGTATATGCTTATACACATTACAGCTAAATTGCCACAATATATATCCCAAGGCCATCGTATATTGTCATGTGCTATATTCACAGCAGTTTCACCCCCGCCCATTTATGCTGTATTTCAAGGAGGCTACATTACGTCTATCCTCGCATCCATGTATGCAATACATTGGGTTTCTACCATTTCGAAGATGACTACGGCCTATTCATATGGTAAATTAAACTGTTCTAGCGCCTTAGGCCCCAAAGGCTTCTTAGTTTGAAAGCTCCCACATTAAACACTCACCTCTCCACGTCTCGCGTTATTGCAAGATTACACTACGTTGTTTATGCAATCTCCCAAAGTTACCTAGTTCCCCCCCCCTTTATTACGCGCTTGCAAGACGACATTCCTAGCACTAAGACGAAGGAAGGAATTATCAGGGGAAAGCACCAAGTCATTACGACTACATAGCACTTTAATAGGGTCAGTATAAGGATTTGGGATGGGACGGGGAAAAGAATGGTATCCAACCATCTGGACTGTCGGGGATTGAACGCCGACCTGCATGAAACCGAGACCGTTGCTCTACCGTCCAGTCCAAGTGGTTGGGCAACACTGATACGAGTCAAAGGAAGTTAGTTTTAACATTTGTTAATCATTCATTCTTGCATAAACATTTTATGTCCCCTTTTACGACATTGTAGGAAACTAATAAATGCTATATAGCAACATAAAAGACTTTGATCACAAATGTTACACAACGGTGAAAAACTACCTGGGAAGGAGTCTCAAGATATGAATCTGCTGCTGCAAGATCCATACCACAGCTAGCCTCGCATAATCACAATATTGACAGACGCGACGTAAACGCTTTCATACACTGCGTCAACATGCTCTTCAAAAGCAAGTAATGTCTTCAAATATTCGAATAGAATTTAGGAATCAGTCTAAAAAAAAAAAGTACGGCGACTGCTTCAATCATCAGCACAAATATACCGGCATTTCCAGTTAGAAATGTAGAGTAGGTACTCTTGCCCCTGGTAATGTGCCGTAATTGTGTAAACCATAAATGTACGAACTGAACAAGTAAATTCTGAAATTGATTTGTATATAATTTGTTTTTATTCATCTGGAAGTAACAAGCACGCCCATGTTTGAACAAATCCAATGTAGTGTAGTGTGTCACGCCTATGTTTAACTGTGTTGGTTTCGGGAGATTGACGTCTCCTGCAGCCAGGTCTGACCAGGCCTAGTTGGTAGTCTGGGCAACAAACGCTGTTGGACCATTAACAGGTATCTCTTGCCTGCCTTTAGTTCATAACCTCCTGAGAGGTCTGCTAGTTGTTCCCCTTATGTTTACAGGAAGTGACGAGTCTTGGTCGTTTAATATTTGTTAATTACCTAAACGTATGAATAAATGTGTATGTGTACCTAAACGTATCTATGGAACCTCATTTTAAAACGTGGCTATCTTGCACTCCCTACCAGACGACCTGGTCTGGAGATTTCAGTGTGCAAATTTGGAATCGGTATCTAGTATTTTCCTGCATCTCGCCGTTGCCAGTATAAAATAAGCCTGTTCTTCGCCGTTAATATAGTCTTACGTGGCAACCCGGCACAGAAAAATAGGGTTTAGCATGCGTGTAAGCTTTTACTAATTACGCCCAGGTGTAATCAGATTTTGTAATGTCTATATTTTTAAGATTGATAAAAGCTAACATTTACCCACTTTATGCCCAATCTTGAAGTTTCAGGAGGTGCTCAAGTTGCCTCCTCTTTAGTTAATACGCAGACTTGGGTTGTGTACAAACTTACCCGTCAAGTATTACCAAGGTACTCCACATGTATCCATATTTTTGTAACGTGTCGATAAGCCAATTGAACATTTTGCTCCTAATGTGAAGGGCTTCATGCTTTCTTTATCAACCTTTGTGGAAGTGTTCAAATGTCTTAACCTTAACACGGAACTTAAAGAACAATTTATGGTAGATTTTTGCCGCGAGTTCAGACTTGCAATAAGAACCGTGCCAATAACGTAGGGAAACCGAGTACAGTATTAGTTTTACACGACAGATCTATAAACCTTTTCCAACAAGGCAACCATCGATGTTGCTGGAACAATTCGGAAACAATCAAGCTTCGAATACCATTTACCTCTTTCTTGCATTTTTGAGACCACTTACATGTATCTGAAAACAAGTTGTTTAATTCTAGAATCACTGCTCTCGTCGCCTGTGAGAGCCCAACATTATATAGTTTGTTACTTATTCCTATTAAATTCAAATTATCTAACTGGAAACTTTCAGAACTTTAGTTCCATGCAATATAAAATTTTATGTTGACCAGACCACACACACTAGAAGGTGAAGGGACGACGACGTTTCGGTCCGTCCTGGACCATTCTCAATCGACTTGAGAATGGTCCAGGACGGACCGAAACGTCGTCGTCCCTTCACCTAGTGTGTGGTCTGGTCACCAATATACAAGAGATTCCCTGCAAAAGGCGTAAATATTTTACCGCTTTGTGTACGCGTTTGTTATAATTACGAGCACAGGGTAAGCCACCACTATCTTGCGTGTAAAAAGTGCATCCTTTATTTTTTTGCTGGTTTTGCTTCCAAATGATTCAGGACGTTAGATTAAACTATATTTTTGGTTTAGTTACGTCGCACTTCCAAATCAACCAGTTGTGGCAAAATTGTTGCAAATTTATCAAATAACTGACGTAGCAAAGCCTGACAGCTGGGTGGACAGCGCTTCGGATTCTTAGTCCTCCACCGGGTTCGATCCCCGGTGGAGGCAAATTGGCAAAATGTTTCTTTCAACCTGATGCCCCTGTTACCCTAGCAGTAAATAGGTACCTGGGACTCAGACCGCTGCTACTGGCTGCTTCCTGGGGAGGGGGGGGGGTAACAAAAAGGAGTCCTGGTCGAGGACCGCGCCGCGGGAACGCTAAGCCCCAAAATCATCTCAAGATATCCTCAAGATAGCTATGAACCCTTCAGAACTTTCACCAAACTCAACGTTTTAATACACGTTTGGATGCTGTACTTTATTAGTACAGGTCATTACAGCGTTGTTATACAAACATTAAATTAGACTACCCAAACCAATACTGAACTAAAAGTCATTCATATACAGTACTAAAGTTTTTTACGCGTTTAATTTGTACTGTGAATTCTTTGCTAAAAAGTATCACTCCCGACGAGTTAAAAGCATTTAAATTTATATCAATTGATTTTTTAAAAAGTTATATTCAAGCTCTTTGAATGATTTCTATAATGCATAGAAGTAATGTGAACCAAGCCTGGAGCTGTCCGCCAGGAACTCCAAACGACAGGAAGGCCTTTAGTCGTTGACGCTCCTCAATGATCTTCGTGAAACAAATTAAATCGGTATTCTCGCAGGGACTCGTTACCTAGTTTAACAAGTTTTCTTCAAGACATTACAGAATACCACACTGGCTCACTAATTCAATTTCCAATTCTCAAAATACCTATAAAAGGTAAATGTTTAATTCTTTTCACACCAAGAAAATGGAAATGCAGTTCAAAAAATGCTTGTTAAACAGTCTTCTAATAGGCCCTAGGAGCTGTAATAAGCGCGCGCTTATAGGATAATGCCATTTAAAATACAACAAATTATTAAGTCTCACCGTACACAAGTCGGTTACAACCAAGGTCGTCAAATATTAAGTGGCACTAAGCGAGAACGGGTAGGTGGGCCAGCGGGCCGCTCCAAGCAACAGCCTGTTTGGCAAAGCTCTGAACCAAAGCCAGGCCCTGAGCTGGGTATTGGGAAAACACAACCTCATCCAGGCTCTGCTCTACCCACTACAGGGTCACAGGGAGACAGTCTTTGAGCAACCCGCCCTCAGGCCATGCTCATTCCATCCACCGGCTCAAAGATGCATTTATAAATTTTAAACTTTTCTAATAAAAAAATGCAAATTCAGGCGTAGGTCTGTTGGAAATTATTTGTATATTTGACGTATGGTGATACAGATCAGCGAAGCACAGAAATTCGAACGGTAAAGTTGTGTAAAGTGCTCTTGAACAATGGGGGTTGGCGGGAGCATGGAATGAACATTTAGTCTTCACTAATGAGGCCTGGTTGGTTTGAGAGCAGGAACTGTGTCTGCAGTTATAATTAGTGAAGTTTAATTGTGGTAAAAAATAAAATCTTTATAGTCTATTAATCTTACTACTTGCAAAATGAAGTGTCTTCTGCTAACATTAAAATCTTCCCAACTGAACGTACAACAATGAAAATCCATAACCAATAAAAATACACAACTAGGAAAAGCCAATATATTTGATAATTAGTCTGAAATGAATTAAAAATATAACGTGCAATTAAATACTAGGAACAACCACTTAAGTAAGCAACGGTCTTAAACTGTTAGAATACGATAAACTAGAATGGGGGGTACAGTGTTACTCTTACTTATTTT